CAGCAGGATTGCAATTATAGATCATACCCGTCGTCCCAAATTACAGCCTTTGCAGTACTTTCTATTGCTACCAACAATTTTAACCTTAACACCTTAAGAAAATATACTTTAAGCAGGCAAATGATTTACAAAAAATTTAAGTAATAATATTCATCTTTTCCCACAAATCTAATCGTCAGGTAGCACGTGATCCCTCCGGAAGAGGACGCAATATTTCTTACATAAATCCCTGTCAACCACCTTTCATCCTACCGCAATATAAACAGACCCACCCGCTGTTCTTCGGTGATGACGTTGATATCACAGACTATAAGAACCAGCGGAAATGAAATCAACTGCAACAAAACCGGTTAATAAAGTAGAACAGTGTGCAAACCCGTCTAAAGACATTAAATAAGAATAGGGTAAGTCATACAAATGTTTGAATAAAGAAAGATCGAGCAATAGCAACGAGAAAGTACGTAAAATCCTACGGCGTTCAACGCCCCGCAAAATTTACAGTAAGATTAAATGTAAATTACCAACAGCTCATAGCAGCTCCTACGCGTTCCGGTGGGAAAACTACTAACAGCTGCAACCAGAAGGGGGATTGAATTACGATTAACGAATTCCCTTCACGAAAAACTCGAGCTTCTTAAATAAGGTCAAGTGACGACAAATAGTAGAATTTTAAAAAATTGTCTCAAGTTCCATTTTCGGCTTCGGTGGAAGCATAAGAAACCTGCAAAGCTCCATAAGCACGTTAGAGCCAATAAACACTATCAAAGGGATAGTCTCGGTGGTAAAAATAAGATCAAAAGGTGTCGCTTGAAACCTAATAAGTCAAGAAAATTCAGTTACGCAAATAATAAGCACCTTGCAAGAGAAAGTCAGAGGTGAATTAGTAGAAGCCATAACGGTCAAGGCGATAGTTGTAAAACCAAAAAGAGAAGACGGCAAGCGTATGTTATCGATGAACCAACCAACGACTTCATTGCTGGAAAGAGCGAAGACGTCTCCGCATCTTCCTAACAATGCGGAAGAGATTGAACTTGAATGTCGAACTGAGGCGGTCAAACCTTGCAAGTTGGAAGAAATACTGCGAAAACATAAAAAACCTTTCAGAAAAATCGTGTCTCCAGAAACCTCTATCCAAAGATCGCAGCAGTAGAATATACCCTCTAAAGAAGCACTTGCCACCCTGAGGACGGATGGTTTGGGTTGTGCCAGACTCAAATGGGTTGGTTTAGAGCTTTGTTTGATTTGTAAAGAGGGTGTTACTTCACTTCCTCCTCCCTCTTCACTTTCTCATAGCCTAAACTTGACTAACTAACTTATGCCTAGACAAAACTTGCCTAACTCCTTGTTCTGATTCCCCTTAGTTCCGGCTACCCTACTAGACCGGACCAGTTTGTCCCTCGACACAGAGTATTTGGAACCAGCTCTTTTACGGCTCCCGTCGAGGTTGCGTTTTGGCAACCTTACAATATACCAATCTCTCGTTATCCGTCTAGCTCTTTACTTAATCCTAATTCTTAACCTAACTTAGTCTAGTACTTAGTCTAGTTGGGATCCGATTGCCTCTCTTCCTCCGTATGAATGTAGGTTGCTTCTGCTGTCCCTACCGTCTCTTGAGAAACGTAGGTTTGTTCTTGGCGTTTCCTTTCTAATTAAAGTAATAAATGGTGCTATTGACTCGCCTTCATTACTTGGTGAAATAAGCTTTAATGTCCCTAACCGCTTCTATAGGCACTTTATCTTGGTTAAGGTTAGTCAATGTGAATATAATTATGAGCTGTTCAATCCGCTCAGAGTAGTTTGCAAGAACCTAAATGACGTCTATCACTTATTCTCGTTATCGGACTCTTTAAAGTCCATTAAAGCAACATTGCTTAATACGCGCGATTTACCTATGTCGTATTTAAA